AGTACATGAAAAATGGAGACTAATATGTTCGAGCTTCATTAGAAAAATAAAACTTACTTGGCGATATCTCCTGGCACATAAGGATACTGTTGGTCGGACAGCTTTCCTCTTACTACGTTTTCCACAATGGTCTTGATATACGGTTCGTGCTGCGTATAGATGTTCTCAACCCCTTTCAATCCTTTGATAAACCTGAACATGCAAAATGAAGGTCAGAATTAACGCGTTATTTGCTAGTGTTGCAGCTTGCTTCATTAACAAACTCACCTCTTTGTCATTTCCATAGTCGAGCCTTCACCGAAAATCAGTTTTTCTACGAGCAGAGCCCGCATATCGCAATAAAGACCGCACTATGTTAGCTGAGTCAGTATCCTACAAAGTACACATCAATCAAGAAGAAGGCGTTTGAAAGGAATTTTACTGAAATCTGTTACCCTCTTGAGCGAGCCTACTAAGCCATTGAGATCGTTGCTGGGATTTCCTTCGAATCTCAACGCATAAAGCAAAACTAATCGCAGTGCATTCTATAAAAGATTCGATATGCAAAAGATCGAAATCAAGATAGGCAAAGAGTACTGACCAAATTGGTCGTCTTGGGATGATTTATGAGAGCTCGGATTCGCTCCAAACATCGCGAATGATCTCCTTCAGCGATAATGCTTTGTTCCACCTAAACTTAGATGTCACTCAGAGAAAAAGCTGGAAAAGTAAAGGATGATGACGTAGTGAAACTAACGTAACAAATTTCCAAACCTCTGAGATTTCCAAAAGATTTTGATTTGCTACAATTTTGCTGAGCTCTCCGACCAACGTGACGTGCTTCGAAACGGTTCCTAAAAGTGTTTTACAGAACAGATTTTGAAGTCAATGGGTTCAGAACAAACCTGATATTTTTTCGAATTGCGGATATTCTTCTACAAAGTTCTTCATATCTGCTATAGACTCCAAGTTCTTGTGTATCTGTGATTTTTGTTGGAACTCATTCATGAGTATCTTGATGTTCTGTCCTATTTCTCCAAAATTTGATGAAACCTTCTGGAAAATAGTCCTGCTTGTGAATACTCTTGCCCAAACTGTGCGGTCGCACATAGCACTCCATATCAAGAAAAAGGAGGTTTGTTTGGCTTTGAGTTCATTTTGAAGATTTTTGATTCCTCAATGGTAATACTCATGTAGTAGTCAGCAGAATGCAGCTGAAGTTAATTAACCATAACTCAAAACAACAAAACATGACAGACACCCAAACTCAAGAATAATAGTAACTCTTGCAGAAAGGAAATATGAATTACGAATATTGGAATAATAAAAAAGTCTAGTCTCTTCTGGCTAATTTTTCTTGGCAAACTAACCTTCGCATAGAATTCATCATGTAATTCTCTTAGCACCATACTTTGGCCATCAATGGCTACCCGATTGTTGTTGATAGTTATAAGCTCGTGTACCTCAAAAGGAGATATTTCTTCTAAAAATATCAATACAATATATCCTCCTTAGGAACCACGTGCACTTTTTTCTATTTGCCAACTTATCTCTTTCTTTAGAAACTTTCTATGATAATACCTCATCTAAGGGAAAGCAAAAACAAAAAAAGAAGAATTTTATCGATCAGCAAAAGATACAGGCTTACCATTGCCTCGTATGTCCACTGATTTAGTAGCGGAGTAACAGGATCTTCACTCCGA